AGCTACAAAATCATATGTGGAATTTGATTTTGAACAACACAACACACAGGAGATTTTGAAGCTGTGAAGCTAAAGCTGCTTATTTTATGCTTCAGCCTATTATAAAGCTAATTTATAGTATATATAAAGCTAAATCATTTTCAGTTTGGTTTTCATTTTGCACCTGGGAAAGTTTTAGATAGGAAATGTTAATTAGATAGAAATGTGGAAGTTAAGAAGTCAGCAGCAGTTCCAGTTGGGGAGAAGAGAAAAAGTGTCAGAACTGCCTGAAGTGTCCTTGAAAAAAGAACAGTATAACATCATTGCTGCTGTTGTTGTTGTAATAATAATAATATAATTGCTGTTATTATTACTATTATTATAAAATGTCCTAGTAATTAATAACAGGATAATAATAATAAGGATCAGTGCTAGCCAGAGCACTTGAAAACTGTCTGACATTCTTTTTTTCTTTCTTTTCTGTTTATACGTTAGTTTACATTGTAATATCTTGGCAGATTAAACAAACAGATGAGAAACATATGTAAAGAATAAAAAGCATTTGATTTCTTTAACCTGTCTTAGGCTTGAGACCTAAGGGTTTGCTTTCTCAGTACAGCCTCCATGTTCTTATTGGTCTGAACTGGGGAACTGCTGCCATCTGTTAAGATTCTGACCCGGTTTTTATTCAAGGTTGGTGGGGTTTTTAACCTTTTTAAAAACTGTATAAATTTTCATTTAGCAAAGTTAATTCTATTATGACTTTTCAAGGGTTTTTGACTCTTTACCTCTGCTGCTTATACATCTTTCAAGGTTTCAAAATTATACCTACCCTTATTTTAGTCAAACTATATATAACAGTAAAACTATACTTAAAAAAAGTATAAATAAAAAATAAGAATCACACTGTTAGCAATTTCAATTTAAAAGATCCTTGATCATGACCCTGAAAATCCATTAAGTGGTTTTGTCTGAAAGAATTACTTCCCATTAGCATTCAGGGTCTGTGTAAACTATGCAAGAAAAAAAAAAACAAACAAAAAACAAAAAACCAAAACTTGGCTCATGATTGAGTTTAAAAGGAAATTGCATGAATCAATTAGATTTGGACAGGATGTGGGAAAGGAAGATTTGCAAAAGTAATAATAGCATGTCTCACAGAGATGGGGCTGGAAAACAGTACAGTTGTATAGTCTATGTTTGAAAGCAAGCACACATCAGGGAAAGAAAAGGAAAACTATGGAGGAACTAGGGATAAAGAAACTTCCAGCGGGAGGGAAACAGTCGTGGCTAACACGAGTAAAGCCTGTGGGACATGGCTTTCAGCAGGCTTGAGAAAACTTAGAATTTTAATGACTGGTTGTCCTGCACCCAATTGGAAAAGAACCAGGAGAATATATATTATTGTTAATGTATATATAAATATATGATCATATACTTATAACCATCTTCCTTGAAGCTTTTCTAAGAAGATAATTTTTGGTCACTCTAGACTTGCAGTATTTCACCCAGAAGGTAGTAACTCCCTGGCCCAAAACTTAATGACTTCTGGAATAAAAAGCAATTGCAACGAAACCACAGTATTTTCTTATGGGGGTATTTTTCAAGGGAAGGGAGTGAAAAATACTGAGTGGAGGAGTAACAGAGCACCAGTGAATGAATTCTATGTGCTTGATGTGCTAAACACATTATCAAGCCTAACCAGGAGTCTCCTAACCCTAGGGAATATCTCTCATGATATGAAAACAGAGGTGACACACGTCACAAGCCGAAGACTGCTGAAATGGAGATCTCAACTTCTATTAAAAGTTGACAGCTGAAAAGTATATTGCACAGTCATACAACTGTGAATAAAGAAGAGTTGAGTCAGCTCAGAGTTTAGTGTTAAGTGAAAATTCCAGTTTTACATAAATACTACAGTCACTACATTGAGTAAGATACTATATTTATAGCATATTTTAATGAGGAATTGTATATCATATTATTTTATAATAAATATATTTATGGAGAATCTTGCAAAAAGATTTACTGAAAATTGTTTTCCTTTCTGTGTATTTTCAAAGAGGACTTTAAATAGGGTCTGTCTTGTGCTTTTCAATATATCTAGAATTATCTAATCTACTGCATTTTTAAAAAACAGTAACAGCAACAATGAATCAACGTGTAGCAGCATGGTAATGTGATTTCCTGAAGCACAAGCATTCAAAGTCAAAGCAAAGCATTGAGGAACATCAGAGACATTTACCTGACAGCTCGGATGGCTGTCTTGAATGTAGGGATCATATCTTCCATAAGGAAGTCGCTACTGTCGCCTCTCTCTTCTGCCATGGGTTCCCCTGTTCCTGCATCTGCAAAGCAGATTAAAAAAAAAAATCTGTGTGAACAGCTGACTACACAATATTTAGAGGGAGGTCTGTCTGACTAAAGCACTACATGAAGAGGGTGTAATTTAGTAAAGGAATATCTCTTGCAGGTTCATCTTTCTCTGGTCAGCTCTTGAAAGGGATTTCATAATTCTCCTGGGACAACCGTAAGACACATTATTTCAGGGATCTCCTCTCAGATTCCAGCATTTCTGAAACACTGGGAACTTTTCCTTTCCAATGGATTTAGAAGTTCCCAATTTTAGGAGCTTTTACAACGAAAAATCTTTGCCAAAATTATTTTACATAAGGCTAAAACAGGTGTAGAAACTACAGGCCATGTTCTCCTCCCACTTGCGCTGCTTGGAGCTCATGTACCTTCATGGAAGAGAATAATCAAGTTCCCAGTGTGGATACCCAGACTACATCCATGGTAGTATGCTCAGCATGCACTGACGCCAACTGACACTATAAAGGAGAAACTGTTGTTTAGAGACCATTTAGACGCTACAGGCAAGAAGAGGAAAACATATGCTCAGGGAAGCTGAGAGGAAAAATGCCCTGTGATGTTGCATGGACACCCAATGGAAATCTGCTGAGGGGCAGCAGTCTTAGGGATAGTGGGAGAGAAGCAGCTGTTAACTCTATAAAACAAGGTTTTAAGAGACTGCGTTAAGGAGATATTTCAGATGCCTGGACACAGGCTGGTGCAGGGCTGGATGCAGTCTAGGAGGGAGCTACCTTAGCATAGCATCCCTGCTGATAAACTGAGCCATGATGGCATGTGCTTTTTTGGCGATTTAGATTCACTGCCCACTGTGCCCTCTTTTTCCAGGTCAAACAGGTTGATTCCACCACTGGTTTTATCCCACATCAATTGCTGTTTTCATGGACAGCCATTGTCTTAGTTCAAGCACGGTGTTGCCTGGACTCCAGCATTCATTTCCTGGGGCTTCCCCAAATGTGTCATGTAAAACCATGGGGCCATGCTTGGCCCAGAAAGTCACAAACCTTCAACAGAAGATGCAGAGGAACAAAGTAAAATGAGGAGAACTAGGAATGGATAGAAAGAAATCAACACAGATGGGCTACCTTCTGAGCTTTGCCAAAAAGCGTACGCTTTCATTCGGAATGCAGTGCGAAAACGCTCCTTATTATTCAAGACAACATTCTTAGGCTCTTTTGAAGGACTTTCTTCAATGGCATCTACATTCAGAGGGGTAAATAGCTTTCCTTTAGTATTGGTACCACGAACCCGATCCAAGAGACCCAGCTTTTGGCTACAAAATAAGCAAAAGTAATCATTTTCCTCCTTTGTAGACTTTTAACTTGTTTTCACGATGCTTTAAGTACATAATGGGCTAAATAAATATTTTGTACACAAGGACACTGCTGGGGCTACCATAATACATCAATGTCTTTGTAAGCAACAGTTAAGCTCCACAGATAATTAACTGATTTTTATGAGCATTTTTTGTATCAATGTTGAAAACGTTACCAGAGGGTCTTGCTATCCTCTCCATGTAATGTATCACAGTGCTTCAGCTTCCATAGCATGTATGAAGCGTTAGATTTATTATTAAGAGAAACACCACTACTTAGGCAGTTATACTGTCTAATTATAAGGATGCTTGGCCTTCCCTGTTCAGTGCTGTCTTTAACTACTGAGTCTATGGCAGGCTATTAAATGAGTAAGTCATGTTCATAGCCAGGAGTAAAACAAAGTCAGATGTGCTGTGAACAAAATAAATTATCAGCAAAGCACTGGAAAGGCATTGCCAAGCAATTACTATGCACATGGTAGGGCAGGCTACCCAGTTTTCTCTGCCATTCACTTTCAATCATCTCTCACTATACTACAAATCGAGGTGACCTATTTAAATTGCAGAAAAGTGACATCTTTTGTTCCTTTGATGATTCCTTGCACTGTCCTCTTACAGGTTTACTGATCAAAGACACTTGTCCTTCAGTGACAACATATAGCTAGAATTGCATCTACCTGCCACCTTACCAGCATCAGTAACCCTTCTGACAGCCTGATGACTGTAACGCTCTTAAAGGCAATTACTAATACCACCGAAAAGAGCAACATAAAAGGAATTTGCTGGTGAGTATATCAGCTTATATACGCTCTGAACACTTTGTCGGTGATAGATGGTATAAGTATTTGATTTGCTAGTTCACTTTGCTGCTTAAATATTTGTTAATTGTACATTTCTTAAAAAAAATGTGAGGCTAAGCCATGGGAACAAAGCTTGCCTTTTAACACATTCCTGGACATGGCAGTGTGGGACAGCTCTAGGGAGAGGTGAATTGTGAACACATGGTCAAGAGGCAGTTCTCTGTGGGACAATGGGTTAAGTCGGTTGAGTGGGGGGAGAGAAGAAGCAGGTTTCTCAGAGCCACAGATAGGAGCAGAGCTGAAGGATGAACAGCAGCGGTAACCGGAAGAAAAAGATTTCATAGGTATGCAGAGAGGTATCTGTGCAGTATGCTCAGTTGATGCCACTAAACTTGCTGGCAGGAGAGGCAAGCGTGGGGAAGGTCCACCAAGCAAGGACATAGGGGACAAAGATGAGGACTCGAGTGCAGACCTTCCAAGTGAAGGGTCTCACTCACAGAATGATTTATCCTTTATTTAAGAAGTTATCTTGGTCAGATGGATTATTTTTATGTTCTATGATTTCTGGTGTCATTGATGCACCTCTTTGAAAGAAGGATCTATTTCTATCTCAGAGCTCTGTCTGTTGCAGTATCCCACCACAATGGAAGTTCTTAGGATGTTCCTCTTAAAATGATTAAGGCGAGATTTAAAGACACATATGATGACATCACAGCTTTCATAAGAGTGCTGACTCTAGTAGGAATACTGCAATTTACACCATACAAAATTCCTACCTGATCTGAGCATTGAACATCACAAGTGCTGCAGGTTTTTGTGTTTTGTTTTGTTTTGTTTTTAATATGGATTCCTGGGGCCCTCATCTCTACTATTTGTTTCTGATTAATATATCTTTGACCCAGGAGGTAATGAAATATGGGCTTCCCTGTCACAAAACAGGGAAGCATTAAATCTATTTTTAGGATGTTTTTTCAGGCCTTCTGAATTTTCTTGTTGACAACATGACAATACTTGTGAATGCAATTTCTGCAGCCTAGTAAATTCAGACACTTGCCCTGTCATTGCACGTGTGAAGTGTATATGTGTGTGCAAGTATGGAAGTGGACAACTAAGAAGGACTTGTGTGAGTATGGAGACACACAACTAGTCCTGATATATCAGCATTGCCAGGACTGAAGTCAATGATGTGAGAAGATAAAAGCATAGATTTGAGTGAAGAATTAGAATAGCTTAAGTGAACGGTATTCATATTACTCAAACTTTGCCCTAAGGTAATTTCCTGAGGAATTTATGCATGGAGGGAAGATATACAAAGTGTAGACCAATGTACAGAGCAAAAATCAGGGAAGGCTTCCTTCTTTGTAGAAAAATGTGAGTTGTTACCTGTTGACATCTGTGGTAAATTAGTCACCACAGAATGTGCAAGGCAGTCCTACGTTCAGCCTTAAGAACTTAATTAAAAAATGGATTCCGTAGGGTTTACTTTTGGGTTGGAACCTTGATCTGATTGATCCACCAAGGTGTTCTAAAGGCTGAACTCATGGTGAGTGCAGAGTCCCAACAAGTGATTTCTGTTCTACTAAGATAGGGAGAATCCTGTGACCTCTTCTCTGCATCACTTCCACTTCTCCACTTCAGAAACCACATTTGAGAGCAGTAGTGCTTTACTAGGCAGACGTCTTAACTGCACGGCATTTCTGTGAAATCTGGATTCTTCAAGTACTCAGCTACCATATATAGGGAAAATATATACAGGAAAAGATGACAGCTAATGAGTATGTTTTGAAAGGGCATGAAAAATAAAAGTGAGGAAGTAAAAGTCAACTGAATGGCTTGTGTTTGTTTTTTGAGGGGGAGTAAAGTAGGGAAAATAGATTCTCATGTCTCGTTAGTAATAAAATCAAAGTTTGAAGGAGGAATTAATTTTGAGAAGGATGGTCAAGAAGAGTCTGGAATCATCACACATCACTGAAAAGGATTTTAATGCAAAGAAATGTACCAAAAATCTAGCGGAATGATAACAAAAAGTCAGCCAGGCAATGTAAACTGATGTGTGAGAAAGTGAGGTCTTCACTGTAAAGAAAAAAAGACAGAGCAATTAAACATGCTTGGCATGGTGGTGATCTTTGCAGTCTGAAGGAGACTGTGAAATAAGCTATAAGAAGGAAGAAACTGAAGCAGTTTTAGGATGAGTAGATATATTCAGGGATAATAAAATGAAGACATTTTTCCCTAGGTCTGAAATAATTGTTTGTACAACAGGCTTGTTGTTGCGATCAGCTTTTTGTGGTGGTGGGGATTAACAGGTCACCAATGATAGGTGAATCTCAAATGAAAGCGTAGACTGTAGTCCACCTATTCTTCAGGACTGCAGTATTGAACATCTTGGTTCAGAAGCTTCTGGAGAGACCTTCCAGAAAGAGAAAGTAGCTCTTGGAAGGATGAAATCTAGCAGTGAAACTCAGATGATTTCAGACGATGAGGTGATCTCCTCAAAGGCAACAAGTGGTCACATACTACACATTGGCTTCAAGAAATGTATTAAATGTCACAAGTTTTGTTTAGTAACATCACAGAGCTCTCAAGAGAAGAATATGTTTAAGGCAGAGAACCTGAAAGATGAAGAAGCAGAAAAATAACTGAGACAGAAGGTTGCTATTGTTTATAAAAAGCAGGTCAATATTATACTAGAAGAATATAGTTGTCATTACATATGACCTCTGACTCTCCACAAACTTGTTTAGTCCTTCAAAATACATATCCAGATCTCTCAAAGTTTGCCCCTTAAAACTCCTATAATAACTGCCTTCCTTACCAAAAGACAAGGAGACATAAAGTGCATTGCAAGGATCTATGGGGATCAGACCAGCAGGAAAAGGGTCACTGGATGAAGGAAAGTATCCGAAACATTAATCTTGTGGATTTTTTTTTCAATATAGGACAGAAATATAGGCAATATATGCAGAAATCTCTGCCATGGAGCTATACCAGAATAGGAGCGATCAAGATTTGATCCTCATCATAGATAAAAACAGATTAAAATATTCCTCTCCATTTAGCACAAAAAGCTACTTATTTGCAGTGATTTTTTCCACTGCGTATGTAGGCACGCTCATTTGTGGGTGTCTTTTTTTTTTTTTTCCTGGGGTGTGGCTTAAGGTAGATAATATGAATCAAAAGCATTGCCAAATTCTCTTTCTGGGGAGTTTCCCAACTTTCCCCATTGGTAAGTGTCAGTTTAGGAACAAACTGTTGTCCCAAGGTTGTTGCTCGAGCATCTTAGGTTTAGGAGCTAGAACTCATGTGATTTGTCTTAAGCTGTTTAAAAAGTTAAATGTCCTGTCTAAGATCAATCTTTAGACTCTTTTCTATAACTAGTGAGAAGTTGGCAACCTAAAGTGCAGTTCAGCTCCATTTCACTTTGGGATGACTTTAAAGCTGGGGGAATTTGTCTCTTGTTATTGACTACAGAAAGATCTAGATGAGAATTCATTTAAAAAGCACGTCTCTGATCTAAGTTAAAGTCACCTGAGCTGAAGCCTTCCTCATTAATTGAATCTTGATGATTAACCCTTAAAGCGACATTCAGATTCATAACAGTATATAAACAATTGTGTTCATATCCAGGCAGCCAGAGCAGTAGAATCATCAGAAAATAATTCGTCAGCTTCACATGAAAAAATACAACAGCATATTGTATACCAAAAAACCCAAAACAAAACCCAAGCTTCTTTCCAGATAATGACTAGCTGTCATCAGAAAAAAAATTGACTTTATTCTCATTTCCAAGGTATGAAATCTGGATCTGCTGGGGTTTTTGTTTTCATTGTGCTTTTCAAAAAGACTCAGGAAACATTTGTTCTCACGACACAATCTCCTTCATTGTAACAGCATGCGCATGGCTCAATCTCAGAATATGAAGCATGCGCAGATCACATCATCCTTCATGAGAGTGGCTAGGACAGTGGTTCCCACCCGCAGGTTCATGTACTGCTGCTTGTCTTTCAGACTCCTCCTACTGATGTTAGCTACTCTTCCTCCCCTTGGGACAGTGGTCCCACTTCATTTGACTTCCTCACAATCAATAAAATGTGATTCTTGACCTCCAGTGCAGCTCCAGAAATTGGAGGGATTTAAATGCATTCCAAACATGCTGAT